CACGTGCCCAGCCTATAGGTTCTTTTCTCCCCTCTCCCCCCACTTTTTTTTTTGAGACAAAGTTTCGCTGTTGTTACCCAGACTGGAGTGCAATGGCATGATCTCGGCTCACCGCAGCCTCCGCCTCCTGGGTTCAAGCAATTCTCCTGCCTCAGCCTCCCGGGTAGCTGGGACTACAGGTGCGCACCACCATGCCCAGCTAATTTTTGTAGATTTAGTAGATACGGGGTTTCGCCTTGTTGACGAGGATAGTCTCGATCTCTTGACTTTGTGATCCACCAGCCTCGGCCTCCCAAAGTGGTAGAATTATAGGCGTGAGCCACTGTGCTCGACCCCAGTCTATAGGTTTTTGTTGTTGAGACAGGGTCTCACTCTGTCACCCAGGCTGGAGTAGAGTGGCGTCTCCCAGGCTCAAGCAATCCTACTACCTCGGCCTCCCAAGTAAATGGAATTACAGGCGTGTACTGCCACACCCAGCTTTTTGGGGTGTTTTTGTTTTCTTGGTAGAGACCGGGTTGGCTCGCCACATTGCCCAGGCAAGTCTCGAACTCCTGGGCTTAAGTGATCCGCCCACCTTGGCCTCCCAAAGTGCTGGGATTACAGGCATGAGTAACCAGGCCTAGCCAAGAATATGTATTTTAACCACAGAGACTGAAAATTAGAACGTAATACCCCATTCTTATCTACCATATGAGAGGATTCCTCAACAGACCTTGACCCAATAGCTGCCAGAGTGAAACCTGGAGAACCCAGACTGTAAAACCACTACTGCTGAGCCCAGCTCAGCCAATGCCACAGCTCCTCTGACCCCAGCTGCAGAAAGGCCTGAAGAACAGCTCTGAGTAGCAGATGAGTGATGAGTGAGAACATGGGGGCCCTCTAGTCACTAGAGAGAATTCTGTGACCGTCAGCTACTGCCTTTCCTGAACAAAGGAGTATTAATAACAGCCACAGAGCCCTGGCCCAGTCAGCACACTCATCTGGGGGGGCCGTGCTATCTACGGAAGGGCTGGGGAAGCAGGCCGCGGTCAGGACACACACATCCACTCCACAGGACAATGGCTTGGGAGTACCTGGCTATGGTTTTTAAAAAGTTCTTATTTGTCAAAGTAATAGACTGCAGTATTTGCAGGTAAAATATGACCACCCTAGAAACATGCCCCTTACTTGGCTTCTGCTCTGAAGGCCACCATCAACCGGAGAGGGACGGTGGCCAGAGGCACTGATGGAGTGAGAAGAAAAAGCCAGCAGAGTCGAGATGCAGGAAGGTTCCTTTATGACGGCGAATTTGATGGTACATGGTTCTAGAGTAGGCCCTAGTCACTGGGCCCCAGGAGGCAGCAGGAGCAAATCTGAGAGGGAAGACACACTGCAGGGCTCATGTCACACGGATACAGGCACCAGGAATGACCGCCCATGTACCTCCCTACAGCTCAACCCGCCCAGCAGTTCAGTCACGAATTCTGCTTCATTCTCCATGTCTGGCCACTGAAGATCAAATCCACCACGATGATAGGGTTTCAGCACAACAGGCTCTTTCCAGTCACGACAGTCAGAGATGTCCCGGCTCTTGAGGTGAAACCACAGTTCCTTTCTCTTGCGAGGACCAAAGAGATAAATGTTTTCTTTATGATCTGTTGAAATATGTATATAGACTTTAAAAAAACAACTAACAGTCAGTCCATTCTGTGCTCTATTTCCCTGGAAGGTTTCTCGTGATCGCCCCTCCGAGAGCTAGAGGGGTTGTGTGTCTGGGAACAAAGAATTAAGACACTTTAAAATCAGCAATGAGAATTTTAGTGAGACACTCAGAAGCGAAGGGTGGCCTGGAGGGAGACGGGGTGGGAGGCGGGTGCTGCGACTGAGGAGCTGGGTGCCGCCTTTTGTGAAAGCCAAGTGGAGACAGAAGCATCGGGGCAGGAAGATCTGCCAGGGAAGGCCCAGTTCCTTCCTTGCTCTTCCCTGGGGAATGAAGGACAGCACGGCCCCTGCCTTTCCACTTCTCAGGGCCGAAGACCCGACCTCTGACCCTCCACCCACTCCGGTGACCTGCACGCTAAGTTGGGTGGTCTCTGACAAACAGGCTTAAGCCAAGAATTGGGGTTGGACTCCCAGAAGACCCAGGTAGAATTCCCTTCAGGCCGTTTCAGGCAGCAAGGACCTGGGACGCTCACTCCCCAGGCAGCTGAGAGGTGTGGAGGGAAGAGCCAGGGACAGGACAGGCTTCCAGGGCTCCAAGATCAGCAGCGGAAGGTGCCAGCCACGTGGTGGCTGTGAGCGTGGCTCGGCTCTGTGAGGAAGACCTGCTGCCGCTGCCACCTCATCCTGTGCTGGGGAGACCGTGCGAAGTCTCCGCAGCCAGCAGCAGCCTCGATACACCCCAAGTTCCTTTCATATGTATATATGGAGAGAGATATATACACATATATATTCATTATTTTTAACTGAAATAAATGCAACGGATCAGGTTCATTCTCCTTTGCTGCGAGTTGCTCGGTCCCCTGCCCTGAGGGGTTCTCGCCTTCGGGCCGGCCGCCAGGCTCACCCCCGCTGAGGGAAAGTGGCCCTGGGATGAGGAAAGGACAGGACACACACCACAGCAGGTGACCGGGAGGAAGGCCTACCTCGCGAGACTGTTTCTAACCCTGAGAACCTAAGGAATTGTGAAGGACTCGGACAGGGGGCTGGGGTTAAAGGTCACCAGGCTTTTTATTGCAATTGAAGCAGACTCGGACGGGATGGTCCCAGCCACGAGAAGGGACAGCCCGGCGGTCATGGGAGCACTCGTCACAGAAGCCCTGTCCGCAGGCTCGGCAGTGGTGCTTGGACAGCTTGATGCTGAACTCCTTCCGGCAATTGTGGCAGTGCAGGATTTCGTGGTCAGGCACCCAGTACGCAGGCCTGGCCGCATCCTTTACCAGACCTATGGCAGGGAACAATGGTCAGGACACCCAAAACCCAACACCTCGACTTCCAACTGGCAAGAGGGCATCCTCAGATGCTTACTGGCTTGTAATCCCAACTGCATACAGAACTGCTTACAAAGCTTTTTAAAAATGCAGATGCCCAGGCTCCATCAGTCACAGCCAGATCAGAGTCTTTCAGACTGGAGCATAGGCACTGATTTTCCCTTTTCTTTTTTCTTTCTTTTATTTGGAGAGAGTCTCACTCTGTCCCCCAGGTTGGAGTACAGTAGCATGATTTCAGCTCACCACAACCTCAGCCTCCAAGGTTCAGGCAGTCCTCCCACTTCAGCCCAAGTGGCTGGGACTACAGGCATGCACAACCACACCTGGCTAATTTTTGTAAAGATGGTTTTTCATCATGTTGGCCAGGCTGGTGGTCTCAAATTCCTGGCCTCAAGTGATCCACCTGCCTTGGCTTCCCAAAGTGCTGGGATTCTAGGCATGAGCCACCATGCCCAGCCTTTCTTTTTCTTTTGAGACAGGGTCTCACTCTGTTGACCAGGCTGGTCTCAAATTCCTGGGACAACTCCTGCCTGAGCCTCCCAAGTAGCTGGGATTACAAGCACGCACCCCCATTCCCAGCTCCTTGATATTCCCATCTATGAAGCTCTCCTTGTAAACTGAAAGGCGGCCATGTTAAGAACCCCTGGAGGAACTATAAAGACGTCTGGGCTCTGGAGTCAGACATTCTAATCCCTATTTTATGGAGAATGGGTTAATCATAAACTGCTGGATTAAGAAGGTTAAGCTAAAGCTGGGCACTGTGGTTCACACCTGTAATCCCAGCACGTTGGGAGGCCGAGGCAGGCAGATCACTTCAGGTCAGGAGTTCAAGAGCAGCCTGGCCAACATGGTGAAACCCTGTCTCTACTAAAAATACAAAAATTAGCTGGACATGGTGGCACATGACTGTAATCCCAGCTACTTGGGAGGCTGAGGCATAAGAATCACTTAAACCTGGGAGTTGGAGGTTGCAGTGAGCCAAGATTGTACCACCGCACTCCAGTCTGGGCAACAGAGTGAGATTCAATCTAAAAAACAAAAATGAAAGAAAATAAATGGTAGCTAACCTCTCAGGGGCTTACTCATCTTTAACAATCCACCTTTAAGAGCTGTGATGAGGATGACAAGAAAGAACATGCCTGATACACTGGCCTGGGACTCTACACCTGTGGGCGCTCAGGATGAGAGAACTTAGTGAGCACAGCTTGCAGGCTATGCTCTGCTTCTGAGCCAAGGACAGTCCTTGCCTCTCCCAGGCACCCCTGAAGACAGATGCAAGCTGAGATTGAAGCCTGGGCAAATCCAGCAGTTCCTACATCATCTACTCTGTGAGCCCCAGTGAGGAAAGCTGCTGCAGGCCATTTTCATCACTACCTACTTCTGCTCACTCCCCTATAATCTGCTACGCTACCCCAGGCCTGGCCAGCCTTGCCTAAGCCCGCCACGCCCTGGGTGATTTCCTTCCCGCTCCCCCCTCGCCATCCTGAATACATCCAAAGCTGGGTTGCTATTTTAAATCTTAAACTACTAACAGTTTGGCTGGTGTGACAGATTAAAGGCAGTGTAGACTCTCTGGCCCACTTTCCATGTTTGACACTCCTGCCCCCTCCCTTGAATCTAGGCAGGCCCTGGACTGCGGCAGACTCCAGGAGATGACAGCAGGGGTGCCTGCCTGCAATCCTAGGCCTTAAGAGATGGGAACATTTAGCTGGGCACCTTCAGCTGGGTGCAGTGGCTCATGCCTGTATCCCAGCACTTTGGGAGGCCAAGGTAGCTGGATCACCTGAGGTCAGAAGTTCAAGACAAGCCTGGACAACATAGTGAAACCCCATCTCTACCAAAAATACAAAAATTAGCTGGGCCTGGTGGCACTTGCCTGTAATAACAGGTACTCAGGAGGCTAAGGTAGGAGAATTGCTTGATCCCTGGAAGCAGAAGTTGCAGTGAGCTGAGATTGCACCCCTGCACTCCAGCCTGGGGGACACACTAAGATTCCATCTCAAAAAAAAACACAAAGAGATAGAGAGATGGGCAACTTCTACTTCCTGTCTCTTGGAACATTAGCTCCTGGAATCCTGACATCACTGAAGAAGTCCAGCTTCTTAAGTGCCAGAAAACCCACTGAAGAGGCCTGGAGAATACAGAGAGGGGACGAGGCTCTGCTCCACACAGCCTTCTCACGGTCCCTGCCAAGGCACCCAACTTGTAAGTGAGCTCAGCTTGGAGTCTTGAGACCACTCCAGGCGCCACCCTTGAATATCAGGTAGTAACTAGAGGAAATGCCGCTTGGAGCTAAATAATCATCCTTCCTGACTTCTAGACCTAGAAAGACATCCAAGATGCTTATTTTCTTTTCTTTTCTTTTCTTTTTTTTTTTCTTTGAGACGGAGTTTCACTCTTGTTACCCAGGCTGAAGTACAATGGCGTGATTTCGGCTCACCGCAATCTCCGCATCCTGGGTTCAGGCAATTCTCCTGCCTCAGCCTCCTGAGTAGCTGGAATTACAGGCACACGGCACCATGCCCAGCTAATTTTTGGTATTTTTAGTAAAGATGGGGTGTCACCGTGTTGACCAGAATGGTCTCGATGTCTTAACTTCAGAATCTGCCCACCTCGGCCACCCAAAGTGCTGGGATTATAGGCGTCAGCCACCGCGCCTGGCCAATGTATTTTTTTTGAGATGGAGTTTCCCTCTGTATGTAATCCAAGCTGGAGTGCGGTGGCGTGATCTTGGCTCTCTGCAACCTCCACCTCCCGAGTTCAAGCGATTCTCCTGCCTCAGCCTCCTTAATAGCTGGGATTACAAGGCCCAGGCCACCACACCCGACTCAAGATGGTTGTTTTAAGCCTTTACAGTTTAAGGTAGCTTGTTATACAGCACTAGATGCTGTGAGAGAATAGCCTCAGAAATAAACATGAAACTACTAAGGCATTCAGCAGAAGCAAGCAAATGGCGATTTGTAATTGATTCCTTACCGCCTATCTCTATGTAGGTTGGCAAGCCTTTACGAAGTGGCAGCCCTGGGCACCCGAAACCCCTCAACCCAGATCCTCTACACCCAAGAGAAGCACCGCCAGGCCCACCTAGTGGTATGTCAATGGCTGTCACGACAGCTCCCAGAGTGTTCTGCACGGCCTCGCCCACCTTCCGAGCGATGAGCGTTCCGCCTTCATCGTCCACCTGTGCCTCAGTAACATCTGTAGGCAATAATGAGGGAAAAGCTGTCACCTCTAAGTCCTCTCCCAAATGCAAAACTCAGAAGCAACAGCAGAATGCTTCTGGATTTTGAACCCAAACACCACCGTGCTGTCCAGCAACCACTGCAAAGGTCTGCGCTGCAGGTCAGGGTGGCCCAGACCCTGAAATTCGATGACATCTGTCAGTCCTTTATCTGCAACCTTCTGGGGCTCCTTTATAACTTTCTTTAAGGCAGAAAGGTTCTAGGAGCAAAAACTAGTACCTTCTCAAAGGAGAAGACTGAACCAGAACCTTCTCAAAGGAGCAGCCTTTTCAGAACTCAGCTATGTGTGTATTCCCTTCCCCAGAAGCACCTCTGCAGCTAAGAAAGCAGGACAGGCTCCAGCCCCGAGGAACAGCACCCATGGGACGCTGTAAACAAGGAGCTTAGAGCCTGACTGGCCAAGACCCGAGGTAAGTGCTCTCACAAGGAAGATGTGGTTAGGAGCGGGACTTGGGGCATCTGGGCATCCAGTTCCCAGTGCCAAGGAGGGAGGGTCTCCCCGCCACCCCTGCAACTCCCGGGCCCCACGTTACCTAACTGGATATTCCTGGCTTCATAGCAGTTGTCGCACACCCGCACCGGGGCAGGGCCCCAGCCCCGCTCAGGCACTGGCCGGGTCTTTGATGAACAGCTGTCACAGAAGCCCTCCCCACAGGCTCGGCAGTGATGCTTTGTGTCGTTATCTTTAAAGGACGTCGCACACTTGTTGCAGCTCTGTTCCAAGCCCAAAACAAAACAGAGAGGCAGGTAGGTTATGGCACATGTCTGCTCAGCTGAGAAGTCGACCAGAGCTGGAGCAACCAGAAACTAAGGCACGTGGTGTTAGCTCAAGCAGGACAAAACTTTCTAGTAAGAGTTATCTGAGAGTGGAAAGGAAGCCTGGTGGGCAGCCAGTGTCCTTTCACTAAGTGTCTGGGTTCAAGCTGGGTGCTCTCTTGCTCTGGGTGCTGTCGCATTAATGGATCAAGCTGAGGCTGACCCTAAATAACCTTTAAAGGCTCCTTTTCCCCAGATTCTGTATCTGCATCCTCACACATCTAAGCAATATTAATTGGCTGCCACAGACAAGGAAACCATAAGCCAAGAGAGAAAATACTTGCAGGAAAACACGACGGGAAATCAGTGGGCAAAGAGGAAACTGGCCTTCTCAATGACTCCTACCCTTCCCAGTACTCACAGAGCTCAATGCACCGGCAGAAACGTTTGCGTCTCCCTCACAGAGCAAGCTTCGCACAGGGCAAAGCAGCGTTAAGCCGGATGGGCTGTGCCAGGGTGTAAGGGTACCGTGCCACACCATACCAGAATCTGGGAGTTGGGCCTCCAGTAGGCAGGGGCAATCTGGTCTGTCAGCCAGGAAGTCACAGCCTTGGTGGGTCCAAGGCTAAGCTCGGACACCGACTGAGCCATGAAGTTCATGCCGTCCAACAGGCGCTGGGCAGCGTTGTTGTTGTCCTTCAGAAACCCGTCGGTCTGAAATGAAAGTGCAGGCTTCCATCATGCTGAGAAGGAGTGAAAGGAAGGAGGAAGAGGGATGTCTGATGAGTTACAAACTCACTGTGGCCAACTCAGAACCATTAACTCCCTGGCAGGGAAAAATGCACACGGACCAAGATCCCTCTGGCTTTATTCTCTTCAAAGCGACCATAAGACTTGACATGCAGCTGTTCCATTCAGGACTTACTAAGACCATATAATACAGGAGGTGACACCTCTTCCAGGAGGCCCCCCACCACAGGCTGAGTTAAGAATATTTCCTCTTAGTTCTTCCACTACTTCGACATCTCTAGGAATCCTATTTCTGTGTGTCTAAATACAATCTCCATGTGTGGATCTGACTCCTTATCAAATTCTGAACTCCCTGACAATAACTCTTTTGCATTTTTGTATTTTGTAAAGTAACCAGCTCAATTCTGGGCACAAGGTACATAACAATGTCCGTTGAAATGTAAAAGGGAGAAAGGGAGGGAGGGAGGAGTAAACACACAGCAGGGAAGGCATCTGTATTCTCCTCATTTCAAGTACTGTGAGGAGTGCAACCTGAGAGTACTCTACTGCAGTACTGTTTTCCTGGAATATAATCTAACCACCTTGCCTTTCTCACTCTAAGACCACGTGAAATTCTTGGGACAAGATGGCATAAACCATTACGCCAACGAGGTGGGCTCCAGTAATGAGATTATCATACATTAACAAATTTCAGTGGGCCTGAAAATTGGGAAAAAAGAGGAAAAAATAAGGAAATCTCCAGTTTTATGGTACCTAAGGATCCAGGAAAGCTCAGAAGGGACCTGCAGGTAGGAGTCCTAGGCTGAATGGTGGCTTGAGGAATCACCAAACAAGGACAATGACACAGAGTAAAATGATTCCCTCAGTTAAAAATCACTTGTCTTTTTTCCATGAAAGGAGAAAGTTTTGGATTTGTTGTGATTTGTGGACAACGCTGTGTGTGCGCACTGATTTAATGCGGAATGAAGGCGTGATGTCACGCCCTCCAAAGTCAGAGTAAGAATCACTGAGGGGCTATGGGATCCCACTTCCTAGAATACACACCAAGAAAATTTCCTGAAACAAAAAATGGCTTTCTTACACAAACACAGTCACTAGCATTTTAATGGTTTTTTTCAAAAGGTAGAAATAAAACTAAATAAAATAGCATTATGAGGAAAAAAAAGGCAGGAAAATGGTATGTAAATTATCTGCATCTATAAAAACATATATAGAAAAGGAATGAGTAGAATATGGGGAAATGTTTTATTTGCCAAAAGAGTAAACTATAGGTTTTTATTGCATTTCATTTAAAGTTGCTCTTTATTTATTTATTATAGAGATGGGGTCACGCTATGTTGCCCAGGCTGGAGGGCAGTGGCTATTCAGAGTCACAATCCCCTCCTACTGATCAGCACAGGAGTTTTGACCTGCTCCATTTCTGACCTGAGCCAGTTCAGCCCTCCTTAGGCAACCTGGTGGTCCCCTGCTCCCAGGAGCTCACCATATTGATGCCGAACTTAGTGGGATGCCTGATCAGCTTAGCACACTACAACACGGAACTCCTGGGCTCAAGAGATCCTCCCACCTCAGCCTCCCAAGTACCTGGGACTACAGGAAGGTGCCACCACGCCCGGCCCAAGTTGTGCTTCTAACATACATGCAAGAAGAAATAAAAACAACTAAACATCTAGAGAGCAAAAAAGCTCTCCAGATCATGCCTTTCTAAACCACCAATATTCTGAAATTCACAGTTAACCTTAATTTTAAGCGAGTTCCAGTTTTCTACATACGAAAAACTGAACAACACAAGATAAAGGAAAACAGTTCTTACTCCAGGCCACACGTGAACAATCTCTGTCCGCACCACCGTATCCACAGGATCTTGGTTTCCAAACCAGTACTGGCGACTACGATAGACCACGCCACAGTTAGGACATTCGATCACATACCTACAAGGAAGGCAAATCAATACCGTTACCCAGCCAGCTGCCTGGGGAGACAAACACAACAGAAAACCTTTAGTTACATTGTTTAAACTCACCCAGACCAGGCATATTTTGCGAGACCCATCCAGGGAGAGTCAGTGGAAGCAGATGTTTTGGGCACTACGCTGACTTCCTCGCCTCTCTCATAGCAGGCCTGAAACAGGGAACACTCTGCTAGCTTAGTTTTTGTCTTTTGGTTTTTTCTTCTTTAGTAGATATGGGGGGTTTTACCATGTTGCCCAGGCTGGTCTCGAACTCCTGGGCTCAAGCCATCTGCCCGCCTCAGCCTCCCAAGTGTTGGGCTGATAAGATGTGAGCCGTCATGCCCAACCTTCTGCTAGCTTTTCCTATGTACACCACACCCCCGACATCCATCCCGACTCTCCACAAACCATACCAGCTGAGAGTCTCAGATGGTGAGTTTAGCACCTCAGAAGAAAGGTCATTCCTCTAGAGAAGCCAGTGCCCCGAGTGGTAATGAACTGAGCGTGTGTCCATCCCAAGCCCCAAAACTGACCTTTAAATTATGTATCTGTCACAGAGAGGAGGACAATCCAAAACCAGTTTCCTAAAGAGCACTTCTGCTCTTAAGACTGAATGTTTGATGTAAATGACCCTTACATACATACAAGCTCAACAGAACGAGGAGAAAATAAGCTTAAAACAGTGAACAAAGGGACCCTCACCAACGAAGACACGTGGATGCTTTTCGTTAGAGCTGGAGAGAAGTTCCAGAAATATTCCACTTGAATATCAAATACTTTGGCACGCAGCCATGGATGGCCCCAAGATGGTCTTGCCAAAGAGAGAGAGAGTGGTCAGCAAGCCCACTGCTGAAGCAGGGAGGAGCTCAGAGGACTTACCTTGCAGGTATAGACTCGGTTGTCATACTGGTGGGAGTATCTGCAGCGGTTCTGGGCTTCATGAGGCACTCCTTCCTTCCCATGATTCATGCTGTTCTTACATCCAACCCTGAATGAAGCCCAAAGACTGACAATGAGATGGCTAAAGAAACCAGTGCTACTTACACAGAACAGTCTCACCCTGTGCCAGACACAAGGCCAAGACCAGACTTTGATTACTAACTGGGCCTCAGGTGCTGAACACATAAGGGTAGCTGGAAACCCACATGCCTCTCTGTTACACTTGCAATCAACAGCACTACAGAGGTAGGTACACCATCTACTATCCTTGTATGAGGACAAAGGGAAAAAAAGAAATCTCAGCTGGGCACGGTGGCTCATGCCTGTAATACCAGCACTTTGGGAGGCCAAGGGGGGCAGATCACTTGAGGTCAGAAATTCAAGACCAGCCTGGCCAACATGGTGAAACCTTGACTCTACTAAAAATACAAAAATTAGCTGGACATGGTGATGGGCACCTATTGTCCCAGCTACTCAGGAGGCTGAGGCAGGAGAATCACTGGAACCCTGGAGGTGGAGGTTGCAATGAGCTGAGATCGTGCCACTATATTCTGGCCTCGGCAATAGAGTGAGACTCTGTCTCAAAAAAAAAAAAAATCTTGGAAAAACTACCTGTCCCCTCAGCAGAAATGGAGGAGCCAGAAGATACAAACTTGATCAGAGACAGGAAACCTGAACAGCTCTCAGAAAACTCAAAAAATCCAAACAAGATGAAATGGAAAGTTTACCAAGAACAGGCTGCCAAGATGCAAACGAAAACCAATCCCAAAAGTTGGCAATGCACTAAGGGGAGCCTTAGTCTGAACAAGAAAGCCTTCCAAATGAACAGTGAGTCCTGCCATCCTGACAGTGCAAAAACAGAGGTCAGGACTTTAGAATTTCACTATGATAAAAGGGAAAGTTCCAGAAATCCTGGGAGGCTCACATTGGGAAAGCAATGATCCAAGAGTGCTTAAGCCTCTCGTGCTGGGCTCATGGGCGTGCAAAAAAGGTAAGTTACACTGGTAACTAACACCCCTCTCCTCTTTCCAAGCTGAACTCTCCAAGATAATCCTGAGTTCTCCCTTGCCCAGGCTGTATAATACCAACATCCTTTTTTTACCAAGGCCAGAGGTGATTCCGCATGCAGCACGTGACCTACAGG